GCAATCAACAATCACTAATACCAAGAAGCATAAACTGTTGTCCTGATTATTAGTTTGCTTTCCATACTGAAAGGCAGAAAGAAGAAAGATGAAATATGTCCTCAAAAGAATTAGGTTACCTATTCTAACAGGATAAAGAAGGTTATTGGGAAATCTGGGAATGCTGGTCTCTGCTTAGGACAAGGCCCACCAAGTGTGATCTGCTTTTGCAAAAGAAGCTGAATGAATCAGAGGGCTCGGCACAAGGACAGAAGAGGATCTGTGTGGCTTTCAGCACGCACTGAGGCCATCAGGCTAAACTGTGGCTTTGCTGCAAGCAAGACACTGCTCTGAGAAACAGATGAGGAAACAGATTGCAACTCCCAGACTGACAATCTGCTTGCCGTGTTTCTTACACTTTAGAGGAGAAATAACTTGGGCCAGGCCTATACGTGGTGTAGCTGCGCTAAGTAAGGCTGAGCAAAGAACGAAGCCATTCCCTGCCACACTGCCAAGTGTGGAAAGGGAAAAAACCAGCTCCAGGCAGGCTGCTCCACCCTCTCATGCTGTGTAATGGCAGCAGCCAACAAAGAGCAAAAAAGGGCCAATTCAACCTTCCCTACTACTCTGTGCCAGTTCATATTAATTAATATTCAATCCCACAGTCCCGTTAAAAATCCAAAGTTCTTTTAACATGTACAGTTTAAAAAGACTAAAAATTAGCCTATAATCAAAAACTATCCATTTCTGCAAGTAACATAGAACAAATAGGCATGTGCATGGCTACATGTGGCAAAACGAGGTAAGGTCTCTGAGATACATTAAAACCTTCAAAGTTATTTTTCATAAAAACTCTTTGAAAGAAACAAAGGCTGTCTTTATCCAACGATGAACAACTGGTTGGTCAATTAAAACAGGCTATGCATACAGAGATAATCAAATTAAGTAAATTAAAAATACCAGGTTGTTAGAAACACTATACTCTTTCTATGTGTTAAAGCCTTTAATACAAATTTAAGGATTTGGGATACAGAAATTAAATGATACATTCTGTTAGAGAGACTGTGGGATTTTACTGTCAAGTTTTTGTGTTTACACTGGAATAACAGAAAAGCTAGTGAAATTAGGTAAAAATATATGAAAATTCTATTTTCAATCTGGAAAATAACCCACAATTCTAAACTTTAAAAACTTTCATTTTTTTAATACGAAACATAGCTAATAACTCACATATGACAATTCCAGGCAGTGGAATCCACAAAGAAACAGAAAAAATAAATTTAGACTTAAGACTTTGAATGTTTCATGAGGCGTCTCAACATAGTAAAAGAAGAGACTCCAGCCCTGCACTAATGTTTTGGGTTAGAGACCATAGGCAAAACATGTAACACAGTTTTAGATATCCTGGTGTATTACACCAGGAATTTAGATGTATCTCCAGAGCTCCTGATTCTTTTTCAAAGTCCATCAGTCCATTCAGAAAACACCTGGGCACCTAAAGTACCAGGAAGAACCCAAGTTTAAGGAACTACATTATGTTAGGCATTTATTTAGGTTACTTGCTCTAGTATGTTGCAATGCCTTATGCTGATCTTTGCACCTGATAAATTCACCTTTACTATATTTGCCCGCAATCTTTATGATAAAGGGAAAATGATAGAAATTGAGGCAGGGGGCAAAAACTGACCCAGAGCAGCCTTCCAAAACTTCTCCTGAGCTGAAACAAGTTACAGAGTCCACACAGTCAAACATCACTGATTTGTTGTCATTGTTTTAGATAAACCAATTTTATTATAATTATTATTAGTAGTATTATGTAGTAAGTATTACAGATATCTGGGTGCATATGAAGTCTTAATTAAGCATACATCATTTTTATGCACTTTCCACATACTCTAAGCACGTGTCTAAATTCTCGCAGGAATTAATTCATACATTTATATGTGTGCTTAAATAGCCTTCCAGAACAGAGGTGTTTTCCTGAACTGTTGTCATAATTTAATGACTTAGGAGTTAGAAGTCAGGCCTTCAAAAATTATATAATTTATTCTGCAATTAGCATCAACAAATAGTTCTAACTATGGAATGCCCATACAAAAGTTTGCCCTGTTTTCCCCCCAAGTACCATAAAACACGTTAACTGCTAAGAAAAAAACGCTGTTATAAAAATGTAAATAGGACATCAGAGCTCAGATAGTTTGTTCATTGGTTCAGAAAACAATCAATGTGTATGTGTCAATTTATGAATATAAAATTTCATTCACAGGGTGCATAATTACTGTAAGGGAAATTTCCACCAGAAAAAGGTGCCTAACTGTAGAGAGTTCAGCCACATAAACTGAGTTGTCTCCAGCACTCTGAAGAAATCCAAAGGGATAATGTACTCCTACTACCTAGACCAACACATCAGGCACAGTATTAGCCCATTTGCATGCTGAAAGAGCTGGACTGTTCCAACCTAACACTAGAAACAGCACCGCCAAAAGGAGAAAGAAAGATCAACATGGACCTTTCTTACCACAGTGGGACACGTGCGGTCCTGGGGCACCATTTTAGAAACTAAGCAATAACTATGATGAAAAAACCAGCAGCAATTACTGTCAAAATTACTCCTAAATATTAAATAAAATTAAGAAAATTACGTCCCTATATTTTTCTCTGTTAGTTTTTTTTTAAAACAGCTTTCGAAAGTTTTTATTCTAATGAACTGTATGCAAAAATACCAATATAGCTTCTTCAGGTTTTCTATTTTAAAAAAATCTTTGAATCCCTCCCCCAAACAAAACTTTTATACTGTACAAGTATGGCTCTTCTACAACTTTGCTATTTTCAGTAAGTGTTGATTTCCCAAACAGGATCAGAATGTTCATATGACTTTCATATTGTTTCCATTTTTTCTGTACTAAGATAGATCCAACCTTAATCTTGCATGTCATTCTGGACTTAATCCATAATGAATGGCATCAGTTAGATCATGGACCATCTCAAATCCCCTCCCCCCCAAAAAAAACAAACAGAAAAAAACCAAACAAAAACAACTATGTCAAAATACCTGTCACATATAATTCTTTCTTGAAAAGCATTTACTGTAATACATAATAGTTTCTGCTTTGACCATTTGTGCTGAACCCTCCAAAAAGTCTTATGTTCCATAGTGTGTTAGATTGTGAACATTTAAGCATCAGACCATTACTGAATTCTTTCTAAATCAGAAATATTTCATCATACAGCTGGATGCAGCATACAGCTGAAACTTCGCTCCTAATTTTTGGAGTTGCTTTACGGAACCCATGGACATTCTTGTCCATGCATTAGTTAGAAATGCCATAAATTAAATAGTATTTGTTTTACTCTACTTTACTTCTCTTCAAGTTAAGTACACTTCCAGGAAATAAAAAAAAAAAAAAAAGCCAGTTGACTTTGTAACCTAAAATTCTTCAATCCTGAGTAAGAAACAAGGACTGCGATGACACATCTGTATATACAAAACACATGGTTCACGTGTTCTGTGTTCACAACATACAACAATGCTGTTTAATAAAGAAAAGCAAGCACAAGCAAATACACCCCCCCACGACATACGGCATGAAATTAACAGTGCAAGGATACAGCACAGACAGTAGCTCTGGAGAAAGCCACCACACAAACCATGCATTAGAACTAGATTATAAATGGCTAGTCATTGTACTGAAGTGAACTTACTACTGTACTTAGGAAAGTGGGAATCATATTTCAAATTCAACTGACTATCTGGTACACTTCTTCCTAAGCAGCCTATTCGAGCACAGTATAAAAAAGCAATCACATGGTGTGTTTTGATTTTGGTCAATGGGCTAGTAATTCAACAGTGGTGCAATAGCTAATCGAGCTGGGGCACCACAGAACTTTGGTAAACTACCAAATACACGAACTGTTGTTGTTTACAGAACTAAACATAGCTTTAAAATAGCAAGATTTTATAGTAGAGTTTGAACAGTATAACTTGGAGAGTGAACATTAAATTTTCCCTGATAGGGAACTTAAAAATAATATAAATACCTTGACAAGAGGGCACTGGCAACAGAATCACAAATATATTTTCATTTAATCAATTACCATTGTGCTAGGCCTTTTCTTTCTTTAAGGAACAAAAAACCAAACCAAACCCCCAATTTATTCAAGTTCTAGGTCAACAGTGTTTCAGTTCATTTTGTCTTCCTTTGCTATGCCTAGTTTAGCACTGAACACTAGCACTGGACTGTGTGCTGCAGACCTTCTCTGCTCTGAATACAGTCCAATGCCGTAAATGATTGTGACAATGCTCTGACTTAAGAGCATGATGAAACTTACGATCAAAGCTATGCTGTAGATCCCAGGAGACACAACTAATGACTGAAGTTAAACCCTATCACCCAACATGGCCAGTAACCCAGTTACACTCCACTAAAGCCAGGTACCTTGAAAGTAATGCTGCTCTTACCTAACCTGCTCCCTAAGTTTTAGACCTCCTCTGCCTCGATGATCTCCCACAAAAAAAGATTTCCTTTCTTTGTTTTGTAGGCTTATTACTATGGCATGCCTAATTTCTTCTGCCAGCGAGGGTAGCAGCTATGGGTGAGGGTATGGGGTGAAGCTACGTCTTTTAACACAGAATTCCACGATGCAATGCCTTGTCTGTGATAAACACTTCCATCTGTGATTAAAGTAGAAATTTGAAGATGGAAATATCGAAGGAAGGGCAATTAATACGTTGTATGTATTAACCCAGCAGTCAAAACATAAGTTCTGCACCACAGCTAGTAACAGAATGAACAAGGACCCTGCAGACGCATTGAAGACAGGAAATTCAGTACCACTACATTAATAAAATGACTGCCTGTGACTTTAAACCCTGGCATGCTTGTACTTGGCGAGAGAGTGAACGATTTATTGTTACTATGAAGGATGCAGGAATGGAAATGAAGATGAGAGGGGCGATGATAATGATGATAGGGAAGAACAGGTTAATACCCCCAGCATTTTATGGGAAACGATGTCCCTACCTCAATAAGCTGGATAAGGGAATAGCTCCAGATCCACTGCCCAGGATCCCTCCTTTCCTCCCAGAGAGGAGTTTCTCCACCAGAGCCACATTCCCAGTGCGAGCGGCTTCCAGCAGTTCCTGGTCCTTCCCCATGGTCGGGAACCAAGGAGCCCCCCACGGGAGAGCTGCACCCCGGGCCACAGCGGCCCCCTCCCTCCACAGAACGGTCTCCCCTCCCCAGACCCTGCCTCAGAGCAGAGCACAGCAGAGATTCCTGCAGTCCCTTCCAGACCAGCAGGAGCAGCAGCAGGAGGGAGGAGGAGAATCACCTCCTCCTAGTTTCACTGGATCATTTCTGGGTGGAGTGTGGAAGAAGGGGGGAGGCAGGGAGAGAGGGAGGACGAGGCCAATAAAGAACCTCCCCCCACTCCCATGCACACACAGCCCCGGCCGGGAGGATGGGGCGGGGGGAGCGGGCAGCCTCGGCCCGTGTGGCCGGACGGGCCGGCGGGGATAACGACCCTCACAGATGGACAGACGGACGGACGGACGGACGGAAGCGGGGAGGAGCGGGCGGAGG